GTGTATTTGAGATGCCAGTCAGTTTTAGGAGCATCCTCAGGCTGCTGTGCAAGGCTTTTCCTTCTCTGTTTGGGTGGGTGGATTTCACTAAGCAGCTTTTCTTGATCATGCGCCAACTTTGGAATTTAATGCGCTCTCCCTCTTTCTTAGCCTGACCCACGGCTCAGTGACTTTGGCTTTTGTTCTGGTGTGTGACCTTGCTTTGGCATGGAGTTCTTGAAGATGACTTTCCCAGAATATCTGCAATATACAATATTTTTCTTTTGTGGGTTTTTTTTTTTGTTTGTTTTCATTGAAATTGACTTTGTTAATTGTTTTTGTGCTGCTACCACAGTTGTACACACATCAGTTAAAAGAAGCTAGATGTGCAAATGCTGTGTGTTCAGCTTGTGTGCTGGAGAAGAGTTTGTATTTCTGGATTCCTCAAGTATTGCCATGCTGAGGGAACAGCTTCTGAGCTGACTGAGCAGTGCAGGTGGTGGCACCAGGACTGGGACTGTGCCAGCACTGTGGGGAGAATTCCAGGCAGGTATCAGGCCCTTCTGCCTCTTCCCAGTCTCTTCAGACAGTCTCCTTGCCCACGTGGATGTACCATGGCACGTACATGGTTTTGGTACTAGTGCAGACTTCTCTCTTGATGCCACTTGTTGGAATAGCTATCCTGACGGTTTACAAAAGTTGAATTTCAAGCCCCAAAGTTAGCTCACAAAAGCTTGAAAGGCTGAACATCTCCTCCTCCTCAGGATGAAGATATTTAGCTGATGTCTAGGTTGATGGAGTATTTTCTGGACTTTGGGAGATGCTGCAAACCACAAGCATGGGTGAGAGGTTTGGAACAGCTGCTGTCTAAGGACTGAGCAGCTGGATGTGGGTCCTGCTGTGCTTGTGGGAAGAAAGGATGGTAGGAATGGCATGAAGGAGATCTGTAGAGCTAGAATTGGCATGGAGAAGGGAGATAGGGAAAAGCTGTTCACTTGTCTAGCCCAAGAACTAAGGGCATCAAATGAACCCAGGAACTGGCAGGTTTAAAGGCAAACTGAAGAAGATGACTTGTCACACAGCCATGTTTCAGCGTGGAGCTTTTTGTGATGTGCAATTATGAATACTAAACTTTGCTTGGATTCAAATATGGGTTGGATAAATTCTGGAAGAAAAATCACTACATGGATGAGGAGATGGGTACAGAGAACCATCAAACGCAAGGACATCTCTGGCACAAGAAGCCCCCAAGTTATTCATAGCACATGCCAAGATTCTGTCGTGGGCAATAGGACTGTCGAGTGATCCTGCGCTCTGCGCCCATTGCCAGGCATCCTCTGTGGGAAATGAGATACTGGCTTTAGACGGACGCTTGGCCCGACCTTGCATGGCTGTGCGGTGCATGTTCCTGTCCTGCTGCTGTCAGTGACCTCTTGAAAACACTTGTTAGGACAGTACTGAGAAATTGGGATTATTCGAGGGTATGTGACTGTTCAAATTTGTTTCAAAGCAGTCAATTTTGAAACAAAGCCCATTGGCCGGAACAAATACATGGACATTGTATCCTGAAATGCTAACCACTAAAATATCAAGGGGTCAGTGTGAAACTTGGAATGTACTTTTAGTGCAGGGCTGCAAATTCGCAGTGTGCAGGGAATCAGGCCCTGCTACGGCAGGTGCTCCAAGTTTCATGTCTTATGTTTATAAGGTTTATTCTTGGCTGCTCCAAATGCAGATGTGTAGCGGGGAATGCTCAACAGCTTTATCTTCGCTGCACTTTTTTATTGGGGAATGGATGTTTTAGTAAGTAAAAGGGTCAGGCTGCTGGAAGGATTTGCTCCTGAGTTAAGTACTCTGTTTGCAGTCACTCTTGAAACTCACCTGTTTTTTACATACTGCATGCACTTTCACAGTATATGCATTTTGATGCTGTGCTATTTTTCCAAGAACAAGGGAGACAATGTGTATTTAGATGGTAAATGCCCATTTTACCGACTGTTTAACATCATTCGGTGGCAACATACTGCTTTCTGTAATACTGGGCCTTATTTTTTTAGTAGAGCATTCGTGCATTGTCTGCTTTTGAAGATCTTGAAGATTTCTGATTGCTGTGCCCTCAAAGGAGGGAGGGACATGGAGGTTTGAATCCTTCAGGCAAAGAAACTGTTGAAAAGGGGTCCCAAGCCTTCTCAAGAAGGCATTAAAGAACCCCGTAACTGCTGAAGTTTGAGAGAAAGCAGTTCATTGCCTCTGTCAGCTACGTGAATCTCATCTTGACATCTTTTTCTTGCCTAAAGTACAAAGTTGAATCGACTTTGGGGATAATTGTAAGTCCGTGGGCTTGTTCTGTCTTCTTTGCATGTGGCGTGCGTGCACATGCTGCTGGAGGTCCCCATGCTGTAGGAGGTGTGGGTGCCGGTGAAGCTAGCGTGTGAGACACGTGGACATCCCTGCCCGTGGCTGTTCAGGAAGGGGAACTGAAAACAGATTTAATCAGAAAGTCGTTTGCAGAGCACAGCATTGTTGCAGCAGCTCTTGGGCAGTACAGGAGTGATTCATTCACTGCCTTCCTGGCTTGGCCTCGCCGTTTGATAAAGCTGCAGATCTGACGCGTGTTTGTACGCTCTACACCCAAAGCACCTGCTCACAAAGGCAGCTCTGTAGATCTGATGTCTGCTCATTGAAGAGATGCTGGAAAATGAAGAGTTGCTAGTTCAGAGGATCTGAATTTATCCTTGAAGGCACACAAATGAGGCTTTTGAGTAGTGTTAAGAGGGGCATATGTGAAATAGGTTGTGTTTGGTCATGCCACAGCAGCAACTCTGTCCCTCTTGGCTGGTCTCTGACTAGAGCATCTCAGAAAGACCTGCTGTTTGTGACCCTCGTGGGGTAAGTGCTGAAGCTCTCTGTGTTGCACCAAGGGAGTTTTTCAGGTGTGAGAAATCTGCTTTGCTTTCTGGCCTCACCATGAAGACAGGTTTGCCCACTGTGTTTGCAAGACTGAAAGCTGTCTCGTAGCGGATTTGCCCTTACCAAGAGCAGACGGGAGTCCCCCTAATACTCTCGCTATTCTCATCTTATAGGAAGTTAGATGCATTTAGTCACCCCTGTGGCCCGGGGTGGAGGGAAGTAAGGAATTGTGTCCCTCTAATGCACAACACTGTGTCTGTGCACACAGGACAGTGGTGCATGTACGAGAGGCGTGTCTGTTCGGGCTAGATCGTGAATTCCCAGACTTTTGGGGGCCTGTGGTATTTGCTGAAACCCAACCTTCATCCACCTACAGCTGAGTCCTCCCTTTCTCTCGTTCCGGCTCAGCTGAGCACGGCAGTCCTGGCAGCCAGCCCAGTTTGTGCAACTGGGCTAGCAGCTGGTCTTCCAGCTCCTTTTAGATGAGATTCTCTTCTAACCCAATCCAGGTCATCTTCCACTCCCTTTTGTTGACCTATTCCCCCCTACCCCGTATCTTTTGCAGTGGTAAACTTCACCGTTTGTGCAGCTCCCTTTCCAGAGCAGCTGCAGTGAGAACATGGGTGCTGTGAGAATATGGTGGAAATGCCATGAAAGGCAGCACGTCTTTCAGAGAACCAGTGCCTAATTTAGGTTGGGAGGGACCTTCACAGGTTGTCTGGCTCAGCTGCTGTGCAAGGCAGGGCTAATTCAGGCTGCTCAGGGTCTTGTTTAGTTGAGTGCTGAATGTCCCTAAGGATGGAGGTCCTGCTGCCTCTGGTCCATGCCCTAGGACTTGGCCACTCTGAAGGAAGAATTCTCATCTTGCATATTGGACTTTTGTGCATTTGAAATAAATTGTCTGTGTTAACATTGTAAGAGCGCTGAGTTTTCGTGCAAACAGAGAGTTTTCTCCTGCTCCCTTTCAAATTGTGTCTGCCTGCAGAGTTAACTGGATACTTGTTCTATCTGTCCACTATGGGGAGGGGAAGAGGCTTGGGACTCTGTTGATTTTTGTCCCCTATAGGATTTGTGGCCTTGGGCAACACAAGGAAGGAGCTGGGAGGGAATTGGGTCTTTTGTTCCATTCAGCGCACGTGCTTCCCACTGCGAGCTTGTGTGCTAGGAGAGGAAGAAATATGGGCTTGTAGAAAAACTTAGGTTGGAAGATACCTGTGGAGGTCTCTGAGCTGATCCCCCTCTAATGAAATCTGTTTTCTGAATTGTTTCACTGACTGTGCACAGTAAAGTAGGTGCTCTGCCAGCCTGAGTCGCGTGGTCCTTGTCCCACTACATGCAGCCTAAACAGGAGGAGAAAGCTGCAATGTAGCAGAGTGGGCAAGATGACAGTGAGTCACTCAAGCTACTTTGGTGTTTTGGTAACACAGCGGTTTTTATTTAAATACCATATCATTATTATTTATGTATGAAAACCACTCTTAGTTCAGGATTAATGCCAGTTCTCTAATGTTCATGCTATACTTGTATTACTCTGTGCTCCATGTCATGATTCTAGAAAATGACTACATTTGAGAGAGGTTAGAACCAGCAATGAGAAACGGCCACTTGCTAATTGCTAAGTAGTAGTTAGGTAGGAAAGTGTGGTGCCTGGCTTTGGGTGGGCAAGGCTGCCTGTGTGAGTCACAGGCTGTTTTTAGAGGGAGGTCGGTGGCTTTTGGTACTGCAGTTACTTAGCTGGTTGGACTGGATCCAGATCTCATTAAGATTTAATTCATGACTGGTTCTTAAGGAATCTGAATCTCACTGTAGTCTCAGCAAAAACCTTAATGGGCGGTGACTCTCAAACTTGTGACTGCGGTCTCTGGCACCTGGCTCGAGGTCCTGCGGGCCTTAGAAATGCACCGTGTCCTCTGTCTGGTCCTGACTGACCAGGGCGGACACAAGCCGTGATGCCTGAACTCTCATGAGGAGCTTGAGAAGTCATCCACTGTGGGGCTTGGGTCCCATTGCTCGTAGCCTGCAGGAGAGCGCTCTGCTGCTGGCGTGTGCCGTGTCAGGGATGAGCCTGGCCCCCTCCTGACTGTGATTTCTCCCCTCTCCTAGTCCTGAGAACAAACGTGGGACAATGTCGGAGGTGCGACACGACAGCACGAGCAGTTTACAGCGGAAGAAGCCACCATGGTTAAAACTGGACATCCCGGTGCCGGTGCCTGTGTCGGTGCCAGAAGAGCCCCAGCCTGTGCAGGTACGGGGGCCGGGGGCGGGAGCGAGGGTCTGCGGGGCCGTGGAGGGGGTGTGTGGAGCCCCACTGCACTGAGAGCATGCCTGAGCCCTTGGTCTCCAGCAGTTCTGGCTGAGAGAAAAGCAGCATGTGATCGCAGGTCACAAGGCCACGTGAGAAGGGGCAGAGACATTGGGTAAATTTATGATCAGTAATTAACTCCCCCCTGAAAGGGATGTGGGAGGGATGAGGGTGGGTTGCTGATGTGCTGAGATCAGTGGATGTGACTGGTTGGATGTGGTGATTGTGAAAAGTGTCCTGGCTGGGGAAAATGGGAGTGAGGTATTCAAACAAGCGTTTCTTCAGGAGACTGGAGGAGTGAAGGGCTCCTAGAGAAACATGAGGGCCTGGAAGTGCTGAAGCTCATGCTGAAATGAGCAGGGAATGAATCTGACTTATGAATAGCCAAGATAATGACAGGCTCTCGTCAGTAACAGCAGAGGGAGAACAGTTACTGGCAACACAAAGCTGTTAGCAGCATGAGGAACATAAGAAAATCATGTGGGATGAGAAATAAGTAACATTAAAGAGTGGTGAAGTAGAGATGAGGTGATAGGTTAATAGGAACTGTGCAAAGTACGAGAGTAAAACATCTGTATTTGTGCTGGGAGTGGGAAGAATAACAGGAATTTCTGCTACAAGGTGGCAAAAACTCATGTATGGGTGAGACCTGGGTAGGATGATTGCTGGCTGCTCGTGTCACCTTACTGCAGCAACAGAGACTACCTGCATCAAAGGCAGAGCTGGAAGGTTCTTCCTACCCAGCTGGGTGGGTGGAGTGCGGTGCCTGGCTTCAGTTGCTTACATGAAAGAAAGGTTTAGCCATCAGACAAATGCAAAGTTATTCAGCTTCCCTGGAGGGGTGCTGAGGGCAAGCTTGTCCTAAGAGGGAACTTACGTTGTGCTTTGAATAGCAAGGACTGCCCTCTGTCATTCCTTGATCCAGGGACTAAAATGCACTTCGGTTATGTGACAGCTTCTGGCAGAGAAATCTTGGTCCTAGTCTTCCCTTGGAAGGAAAGTGATTTGGGTTCAATCTGCCGGGATTAGAAGCGGAATGCAGGGTTTTAACAGTGCAGGTTCAAACCTTCTGAATAATTTATTTAAGACTTTGATGGATGTTCTCTTACCTGAAGTCTCTAAATCCAGCTGGGCCCCTTCTGGAGGGACACCCTGTACTTAACGATGGAAGCTGGCAGAGGTGATGTTCTCTGGAGGTGCAGTGTGCCCAGCACAGGCTGTCAGGATAAGAGTGCACAGTGGCTCCTTTGGCTTATAACCTGAGTATCTGTGCATTGTTTTCACATAAAACATATAAAAAATGTTGAGACTAGTGGAAATTATTAGCTCTCTGGGCTAGAGGGGCTGGAGTTGCAAGTAGTCCTGAGGCAGAGACAGTGTCTGACCAAATCAAGCAGTTGATCAGAGCTTCATTTGCCAGAAGGACAGTCTGATCAGCCTGCGTTTTACAAATGGAGATGGCGTCCCTGCCAAGCTAATGAAAAACTAATTCAGAGCAGCCCTGGGAAGGCAGTCGTACGGGCTGAGAACAATCTGGTGAGTTGTGTCATATTTGGTAGGTGACATTCAGGCAAGACGTGCCAGGGGCTTTCAGAGCTGAGTGTGTCCAGACAGTTAGGTTATGAACAAAGCTGATGTGGCTTTCCCAGCTTGCTTAGCCTGTGCCAGGCAGCAGCTACAGCACAGACCCACCCACAGCTCTCGCACACTTTTAGTGTAGATCCAGAGTCACTTACGAAGCAAATCTAATTTACTGTGCTTCTCTTCACCTTGTGCAGTGGTCTGGGAGTGTGTGATCTGGTTTCAGGATATGTTGCAGGAGCTCATGTAATACACCCTGTCTACAAACAGGCATCAGTCCATGAGCCAGGCTAGAGCCAGTCTGAGCTGAGACCCACGGCAACACACAGATGCTGCGTCCTGGGTGCTGACTGTTCTGTTCTGTTCTGTTCTATTCTGCAGAGCCATTCCTGGCTAATATGAACATAGTCCTTGGTAGCCTGATTTTGCTGTCCAACTGCATACAACCAGCTCGTGGTTGGGGTGTTGGGGGGCTGTTGAGTTGCTGACTAAATGTTTCACACCCTGGATGGCCTTGTAGACCACCGCTCTGAGAACACTGACTCTCCTCCTGCTTTTCTTCGCAGCCAACGAGACGTCAGGCCTTTCTGCGAAGCGTGAGCATGCCCGCTGACAACACTCGTGTGCCCTCCCTGCCTAACGAGGTGAGGAGACCGGTGCTACAACGACAGACCTCAATCACCCAGACCATCAGGAGGTGAGACACAGAGTTCATGGAGCCTGCTTTAGTGGATTCTGCCATGTGTTGCCATCCTTTATTTGTGGATTTACGGTCCTCTGCTTGTCCCATTGTCTGGCACTTCAGTGGCATGCTGTCACAGCAGGAAAACCTTGTTATGTCTTATGAGATTGGGGAAGAGGTGGGGTGCAGATAGGTCCTGAACATATAATTATGCCCAGTGGTGCTATATAGCCTTTCTTTAGTAAGCGAGGAGATAAGTCCTGGGAGGAGGATTGTAATGATCAGGATAATGAATGGTTTTTGCCACTTAGAAACAAATTTTGACTGCCCCCGTGCCCCAGGAAGCTGGCTATTTCTAAGTAACAGGTTGCCTTAGGCCCTGATGTTTAGCTGAGACTTTATGATGTGGTGTGCTGGGCTTGCTTTGGTGCCGTATCTGAGAGTGTGCGATTGCTGGGGGAGGCAGAAGCCCATCCTGAGCAGTCCAGGGCTCTCAGCACCTTGGTTCCTGGCACTAGCTCATTGACAGGTCCTTGAGATGGCTATGGTGGGTGATGGAGAGTAGGGAGGGGCGGCTCCAGTCCTGTCCCCTGTGCCTGTATAGAGGGTTATCATTCATCCCCACGATCCAGGGATCTCTGAGACATGACCACACAGCTAGATGCTCCTTCCTGCCCCATGGCACAGCCTTATTTATCCCAGTTGGTCCAAAAGGAGTGGCTCTCGCGGCTGATCTTCTGAGATGCGTGGCTTGTATCCCTGGCAGTGTGTCAGGCCTGCCTCGATCCCAGGAGCATCCCTGGAGCTCCACAGGTCAGGGGCACTTCCAGCCAGCCAGGCTTCGCCCACTCACAGAGGAGCAACTTTCCAGCTGTGGGAGAGACTCACCTCCCACGCACTGTTTTCCTTTGCCTCAGACGTTCCCCAGCTGCCTTGGTGGTGAAGCTCTCCTGCAGCAGCTCTCTGTGATCCTGCTTTTTGCGAGACTGGGAGGGCCGAGCCATGAAGCAGTGTCTGCTCTTTTCAGGGCCATGGGCAGCTTCTGAGCCTGCCTGGGGCTGTCCTTGCACACCTAGACTGCCTCTTCTCTCATCTCCCTACCCTTGTCCTGCTCCTTGCCAGGACAATTAGGTAAGAGCATGTCAAGGATGAGGGGATATCCTGGGAGAGCGCTGCGGAGGCCCCGACAAGAAGCATTGAGCAGGAGGGCCAGGGTAACCTTCTCCCTCAGAGGTCCTCACAATATGCAGTTTATATGTAGGATGGAGAGGCTGGGGAACTGCAAACCACTTTGGTGCTAAGGGAACAAATTTTCCCCCAGGACTACTGCAGTATAAGACAGACAAGGCACGTGGAGCTACAGTGAGCCAGGAAGGAGTGCTGGACAGTGGTGATGAAGCTCTCACACACTGAGGGAGATGCTGGTGTCCTGCTTAGCATCAGGGCCATGGGCAGGCACGTGTGGCTGTTTCACTGACAGACCCTGGGACATGTCTTCTGCTTACCCGTCTGTGCTGTAAGGGCAGTGCTGAGGCTCAGGCTGGTGATAGCATCCCTGCCTGTTCCTAGTGGTCTGTGTAGTTGTTTTGTACCCTGGGAGTACACATGGTCCCACAGGCAGTGGCCCAGAGGTGCACAAATGGTTTTGGAAGTCCTGGGAGTCTCCTGCTCAGAGTGTGTGTGTGGTTGATGTTAGTTTGCAGTGCTGAGTTGTGTCCACACAGGCTGTTGTGCAGCACAGGGGGTGGCCAAATCTCTTCCTCCTGGAGGACTCACAGCTCTGCAGGTGGTTTCTGCAGAGTGCTCTAGGACGTTCGTAGGAGAACAAGTGCAGCAGTGGGAAGGACTTTCCAAGGGGCAGAATTGCAGGAGCTGCACACATGACATGAGAGTAACAATAAATGCATGAAATAAGTGTATCAGAAACAAGGACAGGGAACTAGAAAGGGCTAAGGAAAGGCCTAAAAACCTGTGCACTGTATAGCAGAGCTAGGGACGCGATGAAGAATTACAGACCATGCACCCATAAAGATGTCTTGGGGATTTGTTTTGTCAGTCCGGAGAGGCTGACTTTCAGGTTTTCTGCTTAACACAGACCCCAGGATGCACAGAACGTGAAACTCTTCTGGCAGCAGGGCTCCACACCATCCTGTTCCCTGGGGCACACAGATCAAGTGTGAGCCTAAGGTCAAGCCTCTGTGGTCCAGAACATGGCATGGGAGCGATTCAGGTGTCTGAATGTAGGCACCATTTCCAGTCTCCCAGGGTGTCCAAGATGTCTGTGTGAGACAGCAGTTGTGGCACAGATAAACTTGTGCCCAAGGTGAGACCCTGCAGGGTCAACCAGAATGGGCCCAGAGCACTTGGAGGGGCATCAGACACCTGTATCTGAGCAGAACGTACCTGGGCCTGCTGACGCCTCCATAGTTTCACACTCCAGTGTCTGAAGCCAGCCAGTGGCATCTATAGCTGGGTGACTGGGCAGAAGGTGGCAAATCAGAGGTTTGAGGGTGCAGAGAGATTGCAGCATCCCTGGTGTCTTCAAGAGCAATGGGAGACATACGTTGGAGGTGCAGATGCACCAGAGGAATTCAGCAGCCTCTTGGGTTCAAAGACAGTGTTGTGTGGCTTGAGTTTGGTTGTTTGTCTAAGGTCATGCTCTCAGCTGGAGTCCACTGTCATGTGCAGTGTGGTACAACTGCTGTCGATGAGGCTAAGGAAGGAGAGGGGGAGGTGTTGGGTGCAGGTTGCTGCTCCCCTCCGCAGCCCTGCAGGCTTCTTCCCTTCAGCTGTCTTTTCTTTGCAGCAGACAGGTTCGGTTTCAAAGGAGTCAGACGCTGCCCATTCACGGGCACCGGGTGGGCAGGAGTTCCCTGAGAAAGCGGCAGTCCCTGCCCCGTTCATTTTTCAGGTACTGGTATCACTGAGTGTGAAACCCACCCCTGCATGTGTGTGCAAGGGCTGTTGTGAACTGCACAGATTCTGGCTGTTGCCGGGACCACGTTGTCTTCCCAGGGATGGCCAGGAAGCCTGCAAATGGGCAGCAGTGAGAAAGTTCTTGTGTGCGTCTAACAAAAACAATGATCACTCGTACTAAATCCATCAGCAGCTGTCAATAAGCAGCATGGACTAACAAGCTGTCCACCCGCCAGCCTCACTCCCTCCTGTCTTTCCTAACAAGCTGTCAACTCCTGATGTTCACTGTAGCTGCAGTATCTCCCCAGGGCAGCCGTACGCAGACTGCCTTTGCTACCGTCAATGCAACATGTGGCGTGTGCATATGTTGGCCCCAAAGCCTCCTTGGGGCGGAAGGGGAAGGAGAGGAAGCAGCACCAAGCAGATGCTAGTCGTGTTGGTCCAAATGGGGCTCAGAAGCTGGTGAATGGGATAGAGCATCCACTCTTACCCTGTTGACATGGTGGCTTTTTCTAACCTAAATTGTGACTGTCTTCTTTTTGAGGTGGAGGTCTTCGTTTACTTAGCACCAAGGAGATGAGCCACTCCGGGAGTCCAGGGCACAATGGCCCATCAACCACTGCCCCGAGCCTGGAGCTCATTAAACTTTTAAATCAGACAGATAATGTGGCTTTGTGTGTGGCAGGGACTGGACCTAGTGCCCAGAAGTCCATTCCTGTCCTACCTTCCTCACTGCTACCCTTGGCCAGATGTCACTCTGGCCCTGCGTCCGCCTTTGGCGACTTTGCGTTTGGTCTTGGGCTTTCAGGGCTGGTTAGCTCAACGCGATGGAAGAGTGAAAGCTGACCTCTGGTGTTGGTTTGTTGCTTGTTACAGTGCTCTAGCGAGTCTGCAAGACATGATGGGACTCCCCAGCTGGACAGGGGCTTTCAGCATCTTCCCAGGGTGCTCCATATACCATAAACTCTGTAGGCAGCTCTCCTGGGCTATCCTGACTATGATCAGAAAGCAGGACAGCTCTTTATGCTGGCTCTGGACCAGTAGTGGTCTCTAGCAGGAGTGGTCCTCACAGTGCAAAACAGCTGTGGTGGTGCTTGTCCTTCCAGGCTAGCGGGAGCACGGTGTCAGAGGGCTCTGAGGCGCTGCTGTTAGCGCAACGGGCTGTTCATCAGCAGGCTCACTTGGGCACAAACAGCCCTCGGTCCTCTCCGTTTGAGGAGTGGCCCTGTGTAGGGACTTGTCACCCAAGGTCACCTGGGTGTTGAAATATTGGTTATGGCAGTCTATGAGAAGCCCTCTTGAGCTGTAGGACTGGTTTGTGGCATGTGTTGTGCCTGTGCATCCGCACGGCCAGAGCATTACCTCTGTGCTGTAGGCTTGGTTTGGGTCTGTCAGGCCAAATGTTGACCCTGGCCCTCCCACTCTGAATGGGGACAAAATTGCTCTGACGAGATGCAGGTCCACGGGAGCAGAGCAGTGCTCCGAGACGTGCAGGTCGCCCTGTCTCTGGGGTCTGGTACCTGTTGACTTGCTGGAGGCCTAAGAAGACATTTGGGTCAGTGAGGTCGGGTGAGATCTAGCAATGGCCTGCTTGACCTCGCACACTCTGGAGGGTCTGTTCTGGCTCGTTGGGAGAACAGGGGAGGCTGAGGGCCATGCGTGGTGGCTTGCATCTGGAGACTTCAGCTGGAGAGGCTGTGGGTTTCAAATTCATATCTTTTTACATGGTTGCAGGACACCTTCACCTCTTTGATGGTATTTTTGCTCGGTCGGGTGCAAAACGCAGGATTAGTTTCCTCTCTCCAGTGCACTGACTCAGTTCCCCTGTGTGAACTAATTCTAGATTTAACCCAGCCTTTACTCCAGCGTATGTTTTAATACTCCCTTCATCATCTCTCAGCAACTGGAAATCCTGCCCCTGAGCAGGGGGCCTGAGGCCAGGGTTTCGAGTTTGGCTTGGAAGGATTTTCAGGTTTTGACGTCTGGGTCAGAAAACTGTAGGCTGACACAGCTTGTCATCTTCTGAGGAAGGATTAACCACAGTGGGAAAGGCTTGGCAGGGTTGCCATGGTCTTTGTAGGTTTAAGGTACCAGCTGTCCTGCAGTATTGTTGGTCTGATTTATCCCAATCTCTCTCTGCCTTCCTTGGGATTTTGCTTCTGATCCAGTGCTCTTCTGTGACAGCAGCCACTTGGCAGCAAACCTACCTTGTGGCTGCAACCTTCTGCTCCTACTTCTGCAACCAGAAGTTTAGAGCTGCGTTTGTCTGCCTTAGTGGAGATCAGGACCATAGCAAACATTTGCCATTATTGTTACCTTTGAGGAGGATGGAAATCCTGCAGCATGAGATGGAGAAGTTAGGGATATCCTGGGAGTGTGGGGGGAGGCTGGGAGAAAACCATGGATTCGGGTGGCTCTTGGGAGAAGCTGCAGAGCAGAGCCACGAAACTGTATGGTCCCACAATGGGGACCTAGACCTGGCCTGCAGATGGTAAGTACTTTCAATACGTGTTTTTTTAAAGAAAAAAGTCCTTTCACCAGATTCTCTTCTGAATTTCTGTTCTTTTTTCTTTCTTTTTTGAAAAAGTCAGAACCAACTGTCTTTTACACACAACAAATCTCTCCTGTCATTTTTCTTCTGTCTTAAGAGTCAGAATGCTGTTGATGGTTGAACATTTCTGGCCAGCATCTGTCAGGTTGCTAAAACCAGCTGAGGACAGGCTGTGAGATGCTTGTGGGGAAGAGTTCTGCCTGCCTTTGAATTGGAGTGGACTGGGAGTGACCACCAGAGGTTTTCTCTTTTCATGTGCACGGTCCAAGCCAACATAATGCTTCTTTGCACTTGTATGCTGGCATCTTTCAGGGGCACAGCGGACTGGTTTGGGGTGAGCAAAGACAGTGACGCTACTCAGAAATGGCAGAGAAAGAGCCTCCGCCACTGCAGCCTGCGATATGGGAAGCTGAAACCTCAGGTCATCCGGGAAATGGACTTGCCCAGTCAGGACAATATTTCTCTAACAAGCACAGAGACTCCTCCTCCGCTCTATGTTGGACCCTGCCAGCTGGGAATGCAAAAGGTGAGTAACCTGGGACAGAGTTGAAGGCCATAGTGAGCTTCCTGCGCAGTGTCTTTACCACGTTGGCAGCTGTGACCTATCTGCGGACTTAGTTCTGCCTGAACATGTCTGGGTTCCACGCTCAGACACTTCTCAAGTCTCAGATGCAGTTTGGCAGTCTCCCTCCTTCAGAAACCTCTCTCTGGTGTCATTGGCAGAGATCCCTCAGCTGTTTTGGTGATAGGCTGAGAGCCATGGTTGTTGTGTTGTGACTATGGTGGTGATCAGATGTGTGCTGCACGTCCAAGAGCTCTCAGCTCGGGCTTTTTGCTGCCATTTTGCAAGGACAAAATTCTGTTGTACATGGAGTGGCCAGTATCCTGGACCCAAATATACAGTAACAGCCTGGTATCATTCAGGACGCTTGCCTAGTGGATCCTTGTCCCAGTCAGAATGCAGGCAGTAGCACAGCCACTGTCCTCATAGAAACCTGGTTATGTTGTAGGACTTGGAAAAGTGTCTCTTGCATCTGCAGCGCTACAGCTCTGCTCATGAGTCCTCAGAAATGGTTTTGAGTGCCTTCAAAGCACGTGTGGTAGCCCCCTACTCGCTACCTTCAAGTGTGACCCCAGGGGACAAGACCCAGTCAAGCACATTCAGTTACCAGAACTTCAGATCTAACCCATAATATCCCAGCTCTTCCCTTTGCTCCATTCAGCGATAGTGATCGATGTGGTTGATGACTGTACATTACTGTGCACCACTGCAACCTGGGCAAGTGGGGGAACAGGTTCCTTCCAAAGCAGGTTAGTCTGTGACCTGAAGCCTGGCTGCATTACTGAAGCAGAGGAGAATATTGTGCATCTTTCAATGAAGTTTCGCCTTGTTATGCTCTTCCCTGTTTTCTTACTGGCTTAAGTGTTTTCCAGTTAGTCTTTGGTCACAAGAGACTCAGAAATATTGTTGGGCTCTATGTGGGCTACATTAAATCAGAACGTGGTATCAGTAAGTATAAGCCCACAAAGATTCCTATTGAGTGTGCAACTGTGGATTAAAAAAAGCTTGTAAAACATTAGGATAAAGCTTGGAAGTCTCATGGAGAGCACAGCTGTGATGAGGTAAGGACAGAGGCAAGGTTTGTAGCTGAAGGCAGTATTTTCATTAGGTTGATTAGTATGTTTGGAAGAAGTGAGAGCTTTGGCCTGAAGAGTCCCAGAGAAGGGCTTGCAGCTCCCAGAAGCTTGCCTGCTTTTTCCAGCTGGTATAGCTTAATTAATGGAAGCAGATGTAAATATACAGTTAAACAGTATCCTGTTGAAGCTTAAGTCCTGGGCTGTCCAGTCTCAGAAAGGAAACTAGCTGGAAAAAGAGCCTGGCTTTTTTTCAGGGATTTCTCAAACTCCTGTTCAGACAGCACATTCACTGACTGCAGAGCTTGCTGGCACAGGAGATGAATGAAACCAGGAGCTTAGGAAGGGTTGAAGAAGGTTTGGAGTCTCCTGTGAACATCAGGAACGTTCTGGGTGAAAACAGTCAATGCCAACAAAAGAAAAAGAAAAAAAAAATTGGGCAGGGGAAAAGATTGAGAACTTAATTTGAGGTTTGCAACTAGGGCTTAGCTTGCAACAGGTAATTCCCTATCTCCTTATTGTAGAATTGCATGTTGATCCATCCAGCCTGGTTCTTGGTCATTTCCAAGAGCCAGGTCACTGTCATGGTCTCAAGATGTTTGCTTGGAGAGAGGAGGGCTTGGTAGGGAAGGGTTTGGGGTGAATGGACTGATGTGCTGCTTCTCTTGGCAGATCATAGACCCCTTGGCCCGCGGCCGAGCTTTCCGTATGGTTGACGACAGTGATGGCTGCAGCATCCCCCACACACCGATCACACCGGGTGCCACGTCGCTCTGCTCCTTCACCAGCTCGCGCTCAGGGTTCAATCGCCTCCCGCGACGGCGGAAACGCGAGTCCGTTGCCAAAATGAGTTTCCGAGCAGCTGCAGCTTTGGTGAAGGTACCGTCTGTGGGAGGGCAGGGACCAGTCTGGTGGCAGGATGGGGCTCTGCCCTGGGAGAAGGGTGAGAGGGAAGGAGCTGCTGAGCAGAGAGGATGGGGAGAGCAGTGGTGGGAGGGAAGAAACCAAGCCATCTCCTCTCTGTTTCAGCCATGTGGCTAGGAGGTAGGATTTGCAAGAAGCAGAGATAATGGCTAGGTTTTGGTACTGGTCTTGCTTTCCTTTTAGTGGCCTGGGAGCTTTGATTCCCACAGCCAGCAGCCTCAGAGTGTTCCAGCAGGTCCAATTCAGCCTACCTGGACCTCTGGGTGGTCCATCTGCACCTGGTCAGCAGTCATGGAAAAGCAGAAGTACCTGAGGCTCTTACTATGCAAGTCTCTTCATCCTGCCACGTGTCTGCTTTCCTGGGCCCAGTGGCCTTTTTGCTGGGTCCAGTACCACCCACCACTGTGGTTTGGTCAGAGATGGCGTACAATACGTGGTAGAGGAGCATGTTGCAAACCTCACTTGCATAGGAGATGGGCACTGTGGACTGAGAAGTGGAGTAACACCTGCAAGTCTCACCAGGAAGGTGTCACACATCAACAGATCTACTGTTCTCCACACACAAGCGTGAACGAGCTCAGCACTGGGGCTCCCTGTGTGCTGGCTGGGGTGGCCCTGCACGTGCCTGGGGTTCAGGTTTCTGGCAGTGACTTGATGCCACTTTCTCTGGCTACAGGGGCGCTCTGTGAAGGACAGCACTCTGAGGAGAGCTCAGCGGCGCAGCTTCACCCCAGCAAGTTTCCTGGAAGAGGACACGGTGGATTTCCCAGATGAGCTTGACACTTCTTTCTTCGCTCGGGTGAGGGGCAGGGCTCTGGCCTGATACCGGCCCCAGAGGCAGTGCCAGACTCTGGATCTGGCACGACTGTGTGTTGCACAGAGCAGCACTGCTTTCTGCCGGGGCTGGTGTCTCAAATGTGATGCTGGCTTCTTCTGATGGGACTTCTGTTTCTCTGCCCAGGAAGGAGTCCTTCAGGAGGAGCTCTCTACTTACCCGGATGAAGTGTTCGAGTCGCCATCAGAAGCTGCAATCAAAGATACTGAGGTGAAACCTCTGGATCAGACAGATCTCACAGGAGGTGCCTTGGACAAAAATGAGCTTGAAAGAAGCCACTTGCTACTGTGAGTATCTTCCTGGAGGCTGCCAAAGCCTAGCGTGGGGTGGTCAACTCTTTCAGAGTGGGACCTCCTGCATGGAGGAAGCCAAGATCTGAGTGCTGTGGGTGCTTGGTGCAGGACCTCAAAGAGCAGTGCAGTGATGGATTTTCTTTAAATCCAGCTTAAGACCTCCTGACCCAGCTACCCGTGATGTGAAAGGTGACACTCAGGCCACCTCTGCAGTCTCTCCAGCAACTTCCAGCCTCACATGATGTGTTTTGGAGACTGTGTCATGCCTTGAGGAAACAAGAGCCACTTTAAATCAGCCGTGAGGGTGCTGGGGGCCCAGCCTTCAGCTATGGAGAATGTAGCAAAGACAAGAAGGCTGCTGCCATTGCCACCATCACCAGGAACTGTTGTGTTGCTCCAAGGAGCGGTGTGAAGCATAGCTGAGTGTCGAGCTGGGCTACATTCCTCACTCGAAACGAGAGAAAGGTGTGGCACTGATGCTGAGAGCCCCACAAATATGTGGGTGGTACTGTACTGTATGCCTGGATTTTTTCCACCTGAGTAACTGGTCCTGAGTAATTGCTCTGTGTGGTTTCCGAGTCAGCTCTAGTTTAGCTGGCAGCTCACCCCAGCAGAGAGCTCCGCTGGGTGTGAACATGGAGCAAACAGGGAGGTCCTTGTTGTGGTTCTGCTGCTCACGGCCCGTCTTGCTGTGTTGGTGCTTTCCCTTCAAGTGTTTCCAAGAACTTGACTCAATCTTGAAATTAAGTGAAAGCAGCAAATGGTGGGAGTTTGTTGTCACTCCTCTGAGATGGTCTCGGTCTTCTTGGCACCGTTTGGATCTCCTTAAATACCTTTATTTATTGAGAAAAATACATTTTTCTCGCACTTCAGTGAACTGTTAATCAGAATCGTAGTTGGGTGTCCTTTTAGGTGGCCAGGTGTTTATTTTGGCACAGGATGATGGCCCAGCACCGGAAATATTGGGAAACAGCACGTCTGTAACACAGAAACCACTTGAACTCTTGGGGCAAGAGCAAACTGCAGTGGAATCTGCAGTTTCTGTTGAAGAAGGACTTCCCAAGGGGAAGTTGGGACTTAACAGCTTTATAAAAATGCCTCTTCTGCGAGGTGTGATATTGAAAATAGCTGGTTTCACAGTAGTGTTTTTGGCTAAAGAGGTTCAGATTCTCCCTTGTCCTGTTGCTTGTCCATACTTCAGAGCTGTCATGATCTCTCCAAGACGCTCTGGTGATCATTCAGAAAAAAGTTTGTCAGCTGGTTTCTCCGCCACTTCTGACAACCATTGTCTTTGTGCAGAGGGAGTCGTTCAGGAAGCCAGAGGAGGTAAGTTAGGCTGGAGCACGTCAGGGACATGCCTACTACCATGCTAGGCAGTGAGCAAGGGTGAAATGGTAGGCAGTTGTTTTTTTTCTTTTGGTCAGGGTCTGAATGCTGCAGACCTGACCTCCAGACTGCTGTTTAAGTGCAAAGAAATACAAGAACATCTGAATATGATGGAGACTTACAAAGCAGGTACTATTCACCACTAGCTTGTGCAACCTTCCTCACATAGTCTGTTTTGGTAAAAAAGCCTTCCTTTTGGCAGTGATGCTTGGGATTTTTATTGTGGTGTTGTTCTCCCGAAAAATGCACGCATCAGTTCAAATAAAGGGAAGAGTGGAGGACAGATCATGAGAAGTAGCTGGCACAGCTTGCAACATGTGTCAGTGTCACTTTCCTGGTCTGGGAAGCTGCTTGAATTCCTGCTCTTTTCCTCTGTCCAATTTGGTGGGCATGGGGGTTTGACTTGCCAGTCCAATCACAGTAAAGTGCTTCAAGGATGAGGATTTCCACTGCTGGGCTAAACTACACCTCCACTTCATAGCGGAGAGCAGAGGAAGAGGAAGGAAGTAGAGAAGGAAATAGATGTGCATGAGGCAGCAGATGTGCTTGGCTGCAGCCTCCCTGTTTTAGCCTGTTGCTGAAACGCTTCTTTAAAGCCTTGAGAGCTCCTCATTCATGGGGCTTAGTTTGGCACAGCTGCCTTGTGCCACCTTCTTCGTTTAGTCCTGCACTTTCATCAGCGGGTGCTACGTAACCCTTTGAAGTACAGCTTCCACTTCAGGGCACCTTGTCTGCCACCAGCTGCTGCTCAGCCCAGCTGTGGTGCGACAGACAGAGGGTCTGCTGCCACCAAAGACCACAGAAGGACTGGTCCCCGTTGCTGTGCCGTGGAGAAGGAAACCATTGCTGTCCTGCTTTCTATTTCAGTCCACTGGAGCGAGGCTGGAGGAAGCAGAAGGATGGGGCCCTGGCACAACCAAAAGTCCGCTTGCGGCAGGAGGTGGTGAGCGTCAGCCCGCAGAAGCGTGGCCAGCGCATTGCCGTCCCCGTCAGGAAGCTCTTTGCCAAGGAGAAGAGGCCGTACGGCCTGGGCATGGTGGGGAAGCTGACAAACCGCACGTACCGCAAGCGCATCGACAGCTACGTCAAGCGGCAGATTGAGGACATGGATGATCACAGGTGAGAGCTGCAGTCATAGGAGGGGTCCCAACAAAACCAGCGAGTGAGTGATTGCTGTTGCCCCTTGGTGACTCAGGTCACTGCCTTGAGGGGGTTGGGTGAAACCTGCCGCTAGGACCCCAGTCTGTGTCCCTGAAGCACGGTGCAAACTGCAACAGACCGCAGCATGTTAGCATCACGGTGCACCGAGAGCTCACCCTGCTCCTCACGTTGCTTTGGGTGTCGGTATCTCTGCTGCCTGGAGGGACTGCAAATTTCTGGCCCACTGTGACTCTCTGGTGAATAAGCAGAAAGGCTCAGGTACCCTTGCCTCTTAGCATTCCCCTAAAGTCACTATTTCAGACACACAGCACGCTTTGGCATTAGGCTTATGTGTTCTCATCGATATTTTCTTGGGAAAGAGCGGCTTACCCAGCGTAATGGGGGTCAGAGTAAACAGGGTCTGTCTGCCAGCAAGACCTTAAATCATTGCCTCCAGTCTAGTGCATCCCTGGGTGATCCTGGCCCCTACCCCAGATTCTGCCAAGGTCCCTGTGGGAAAACAGCAGCTTTTCTCCTGCGTTCTCTGAGTAGATGTAATATGCCTGGGTTTCTGCCTCTGATCTTTTCCCTTTCCCTCCATCCAGGCCTTTCTTCACTTACTGGGTCACCTTTGTGCATTCACTCATCACCATCCTTGCTGTGTGCATCTACGGCATTGCCCCTGTGGGGTTCTCACAACATGAAACTGTTGATTCAGTAAGTAAATCCCCCTGGCTTGCCTGGAGTGTGATTGTGCCTCAGCCTTCAGCTGCTGGCTCTGTGTGTCGTAGTCTTCAGCATATTAGCTAGTAGCCTGAGGGCCTTGACAGCTGGACGCTGGGTGTCCAGCCTTGGGGGCAGCTGCAGCACCTCTGTGAGCCCCTGCACCACCTTCTATCCCTCCTGCAGCCACATTGCCCTTGACATTGAATTATGCCTGGCACAAAGCGTGGTGGGCTCTGTGCACGCTCTTGTGTCTGTGCTGGGAGCCCTTCAAGCAACTTGTTCCCCTCCTGGTGGAGACCAGAAGGATGTTCATGGCACAGAAATATTTCAAACCTAAGTTAAGTTTTCACAACAGTTGCAGGATTTTGCTTCTGCCAGGAGCGAAACTGACCTGTCTGACTTTGAGAGCTGATCTTGAAGCTGTTTGTAGCCTTCCCACATGTTGTTAAAGGTCGCTGGGGTACATATCTCTACAGCCATATCCCCACTCCATGCAGGGGATGCCTTGGGGAGCTTCTCACCTACATGTCTGACAGCTTTCGTAGCACTGTCACCAGCACCTGGGTCTACACTGCTGGCAGGTGCTGCTTATGTTTCTGAGCTGTGTGAACCTTATTGCTGGCTCTCAAGCTGCTCTTGGGTCTCCAGGCCCTGGGATTTCTTGAAAGTTGAAGTAGCCAGAGATAGACACTTCAAATGAAATCTAAAGATGAAGGTGCCCATGCTTTGATGGGAGTATACCTGCGATCCTGCAAAAGACCACTTTGGGAGAAACGTGTGCCCCAGGCTGTGGGGATTTCTGTTCATTCTGAGTGCTATTCTCACCAGCTCCTGCTGCTTGCCCTGCTGACCCTGTGGGCAGGAGCTCATGGGACTCTTGCTTTCTCTTCGTACAGGTCTTGCGAAACAGAGGAGTTTATGAAAATGTCAAATATGTTCAGATTCTGGATCGGCCCCAGCTCAGTGAGTGGCTGGGACTGTTGGTGGGCTGATGAGGGACTGCGTGCTGCAGCCACGCCAGCCCAGGGACTGGGGCCCTCCACTGCTTGGAGCCTGGTGCTAGCAGCTGCTGTTGGTTGGACATCCCATGGGACCCTGCTGTCACTGGCAGGGTGCAGGGCGGTGCTCCTGACCCCAGCCACCCTGCAGTACAGGCTACCAGGAGGCTGGGGTGGACCTTGAGACTCCTGCTTTGCACCCTGGTCTTGTGAAGCCAAGCAGGGGGCCAGAGAAAATGTGGGAGTTGTATGGTGTGTGACAGCTTTCCTGATGCCATTCACCCTGGAAAAGGCTGTTGTGTCGCAAAGCTGCCTTTCCTGGCCACAGCGCTGGTCTTTCTGGGACCATGGGCAAGGAAATCCCTGAATTTTTTGTTCTGGGCTTGTCTTCTTCAAAGCAAATACTGAGAGTATGCCTGATGTGTGTTGGGCCGCATCATGCAGGACTTGTCCCTGGTCCCTTGAGCCCTGATGGGGGTCCTTCTCGCAGTTCCCCCCACCTGCTCTGCCCCAGGCAATCATTGCCTGCCCCTTGGCTGAGCTGAGTGTTTCCATCTCTGCCAGGAGGCCCTGATCCACCTAGGGGCCAAGTTCTCTCCGTGCATGAGGCAGGACCAGCAAGTGCACAGCTTCATCAGCGCCAAGCGGGAGAAGGAGAAGCACTCGGCTTGCTGCGTGCGGAATGACAAGTCGGGCTGTGTGCAGACCTCAGAGGAGGAGTGCTCAGTGAGTGTGGTGGCCCCTTTTGTGTTGTCCCTGCTGGCTCAAGGCCACTTCTGTTGATGCTTCTCCCGCCCTGGGCTTCACGGTGACACCTCTCCTCTCTCCTGCAGTCTACGCTGGCAGTGTGGGTGAAGTGGCCCCACCACCCCAGCACACCGACGGTGGGAGGAATCAAGAGGCAGTTTGGGTCTGTTTGTCATCAGGACCCCAGGTAGGTCCTGCCTAGCCCAGCTGCCATCCTGGGGGTACCGCAGCTGCTGTGACAGCAGTCAGAGAGGCATGGGGTCCCAGGCCAGCTGATCGCTGGATGGGACAGCAGCTGCTCTGGAGACCAAGGGACATGGGGACCTGCCCCAAAGGCTGCAGGGGAGGCTGAGGCAGTGTGATCATACTTCTGCTCGACCCTAGGCTCCATTGTTGACCGCTGCCTGCCTGCACAGTGGCTCGTGAGCTGCGGATGCCTCCCCAACCTTCTCCCCCTCCTCATCTGGTTCCCTTGCTCCCCACACGCTCCTTTTTTGGGGTGCAGCAGTCACATTCCCAGCACACCTCTGCCCTAGAGCCCTGCCAGCCACTGGGTGCCATGGCACACCTTTGCCCTCAGTCACTGTGGGTTGATGTAGGGCTGGGACCAGCTCAAGGCCCACCTTTGGGGTTGTCCACCTGGAAGGGAGCCAGCGAGTTGCTGGGCAGCTGCGTGCTCTTGGACAGCTGCCTTTGTGCTGAAGCTGTGATCTGTGCTCGCTGGAAGGAGGCTGTGGCTTTGATCAGCACAGCCTTGGCTGATCTGGTGTAGCGTGTCACCAGCCCCTTGACAGACTCTGTGGGACCACAGCCTGGGGGCAGGGACAGTGTGGGAGCTCGCTGGGGGATCCTGCCTGCTGCTGGTGCTGAGCAAAGTTACTTCTCAGGCTGATCTCTGCTTTCTGTTGCTGCAGGGTGTGTGAGCAGCCAGCCTCGCTGCACCCGCACGACTGGCCAGATGACATCACCAAATGGCCGGTGAGCATCGGCGGAATGGAATATGGCATTTGCATCCCGCTGTGCAAAGCCACAGCTGTGTTGGTTGGCAGGGGTCTCTGCTGCAGCCTCCTGCTAGTTGTCACAAACACCAGATGAGGGCAGCCATGGCTTTGTCTAGCCAAGGCTCAAAGACCTCCAACAACAAAAATTCCCATGTGCCAACTAAAGCCCTGCTAAAGCCCTGGGCCCTGCCAGGGTGACGGGGTGATGGGGACCGGCTCGGCCTCGGGGCTGTTTTCATCCCTCAGTGGAGAGGAGGGGTTGGTTGATTGAGGCTCCAGCAGATGGGGTGTCAGGCACCATCCTGCTGTCAGAGGGACGTCTGGGAGGCCGGTGTCTGTGGGACTGGCTTCTTCCCGAGGGCCTGTTTTGACTTTACCCAGGCAGCAAGCAAATCCGTGTCTGACTGCAGCCCGTTGTTGTTTTCCAGATCTGCACAAAAAACAGTGCTGGGAATTACACCAACCACCTTCACATGGACTGCGTGATTACAGGCCGGCCCTGCTGCATTGGGACCAAAGGAAGGTAATGAGCTTTACCCGTATGGAGAGGGGCTGGGTGTTGGGGTGAGACGCAGGGGATCCTGTTCAGGTTGTAGATGCAGCCGTTTGTCCTCCTTGTCCTTCCCACACGCAGCCCAGCGCCCTGCTGGGAAGGGGAGTTGGACAGGTAGCCCTGACTGATCTCCCAGACGGAGCAGGGCTCTGGGATGAGCAAGAGACAACAGCCAGCCTGAGTCTTTGGTGCAGCAGGGTGTCTTGTTCAACTGGTCCTGCAGTTTGGAGGGACATGGATCCCAAGGGATTAGATACTTCTGCTGGGGAGTTTTGTACTTTTCCTTAGGAATGGCCAGCTTGGTCCTGACAGGCTACATTGGCCCGAGCCTGCAGTCCCTGAGCACTCAAGGAGATGTCAGGAAATAACCTTCTCTGGGTTTGCTAAGGAGGAAGATGCTGTTCTTCCTCATGTTGCTCCTCAGCTTGAGTAGTTACCCAGTGCTTGGGCCTGGCTTTCCCTGCTAGGGAGAAAAATTACTCCTGCACCGAGGAGTTTCTCTGTCCCTGCAAGTCATGACCAGGACGCTTGTGGCCTAGCCCCCTGCTTTCCACTCTCAGCTATGGAGGCACAAGACTCCTCCAGCCCCAGAGACACAGCTTTCCCAGGCTCTGGTGGTTCTTAGCTGTGAACAGCTCAGCTTTAGCACTTCCTTTGGAGCCCCTATACGCAGGGCTGTAGTCTGTGGAGGTGACTCAGAAGCAAGAGGGGTGTATGGAGAGTGGCACTGGGCTCAAATAGGAATGTTTTAGCGCATCTGTTGCAGAGGCACTACAGCACGTCGGGGCAGCTGAAGGCATCGGTCCTCCTAGGCAGACTTGAGATGAGATGAGAGGGAGTGGGTGGCCTGGGAGGGCATGGGATGGTCCATTGTACCTTCTACATGTGACTTGTTTCTTGTTTTGATTACTCGTGCTTCCTCCAGGTGTGAAATAACCTCCCGGGAGTATTGTGAATTTATGCGGGGCTATTTCCATGAGGAGGCAACGCTCTGCTCTCAGGTAAGTGTGGAGTTGGGGATTTGTATGGCTGCCCTTGTCCCTCCTGTTCCCCTTAGCAGCTTGGCAAGATCTGGGGATGACTGTGCTGCAGTGTAGGTGGGAGTCCTGCACCCTGTCCCACCCTGAGCCCGGGGAAAGTTGCTGATCCAGACTGTAGTGGCAGAGCTGGCTGCACCTGTCCCTCTTTGGAGACCAGTTTGGGACTGGGGCTTTCACAGCTGCAAAAGACTAACACAGGACCACTGTGGAAGCAGCAGGAGAACACGATCTTCCTGCTCCATTGGTGAGCAAATGCAGGTGTCTCAGTTGTGCGTGTGTTGGGGTGAAGAATGAGGGCATAAAGCTGCCACAGGGAATGGGTGGAGTCACATGTAACTCGGTGTTGGAGACAAGGGTCGGGACTTGATGCAGTGCAGAAGATTCAGAGCTAACTGCAGTCTCTGCCCTGGCCTTGGTAAAGGGCCATGCTGGCTGGCACACCTCACAACCCCAGTTCTGCCCTAGGTGCACTGCATGGATGATGTCTGTGGGCTCCTCCCTTTCCTAAATCCAGAAGTCCCTGACCAGTTCTACCGCCTCTGGCTCTCGCTTTTCCTCCATGCCGGGTAAGCATAGGTGTAAAACTTCCACTGCCTGGGTCAGGGAATCCAGAACCCTGGGATTGCTATGAGGGTTGTTCTGGCAGTCCCTTCCCTGGGACATGGGGTTGCTGAGCTGTTGTCTCTGCTGAGGTTTACCATGCTGGGTTTGCTGGGAGGGGTATTAAAGGCGTGGGCGAGGCCAGAGCAGGAGCTCTCAGCAAGGCCGGGCAAAGAACACAAAAAAGCACAGGGGTGACTTCAGTGGCTGCTGCTTCAGCTCCTGTACTCTGAACTTGGCAGGATCCTGCACTGTCTGGTTTCAATCTGTTTCCAAATGACCATCCTGCGGGACCTAGAGAAGCTGGCAGGATGGCATCGCATCTCTATCATCTACCTGCTCAGTGGCATCACTGGGAACCTTGCCAGTGCAATATTTCTACCCTACAGAGCAGAGGTGGGTCTCCTGCAGACGAGGGTCCCGGTAACTTGCCCTGAACACAAGCCTTCTTCACATGCCTGTGCCTCTTGGGCAGAGACACCAGAGCTGGGCTCACCTCTGCAGCACGTGCCTTGTGCAGATTTGCAGCTACAGGTCTGGCTGCAGTAAGGTGGTTCCCTCTGGTAATGAATGGGGGGTTTGTCCAGCCACAGGGTAAGAGGCTCCTGGCAGGCTGACAATTGAAAGCTGCAGCTGGTGCCAGAGACCCTCCACTCGTGGTGTGGCAGGCAGGAGAGGGGCAAAGAGCAGAGCTCACCTTTCCTACAGACTGTCCTGGACTATTCTTCTCCACCTGCCACAGCTGGAGAAGTCTGATGTGACCATCCAGCTTCACTGCAGAGGACTGTGTGGCAGGACCTGGAGGACTATCTTCCTTCAGTAAGGAAAAGTGCATGGTGGGTGGGGGGAGCCAGATTGCCTTCAAGGACTTCTCCACTCTGGTGACTTAAACCAGATCTGCCCTCCTTAATATTAAGTCTGTTGTGGTGATTGCTGGCCTCACACCTACCTTGATCCTAAATCAAACCAGGCCCCTTTACTCCTCAAACGCCTTTATAAGGATGAAGTTGCAGGCTGCAGCATCTCTTTCCCAAGAAACACTGAACAAGGTGTTGCACGATAAATAACTGTAATGCCTGGAGCTGGCTGCAGAAGCCAGGCAGATGATGGGATGTGCCTGATGTTACCTGTAATGCTCTTCTTCTGCAGGTTGGCCCTGCAGGATCCCAGTTTGGGATTCTGGCCTGTCTCTTTGTGGAGCTCTTCCAGAGTTGGCAAATCCTGGCACGCCCATGGAGGGCTTTCTTCAAGCTGTTGGCTGTGGTGCTCTTTCTTTTTGCCTTTGGCCTCCTGCCTTGGATTGATAATTTTGCTCACATTTCAGGATTTATCAGCGGTTTCTTCCTCTCCTTTGCCTTCCTGCCCTACATTAGCTTTGGAAAGTTTGATTTATATAGGAAGCGATGCCAAATTATAGTTTTCCAGCTCATCTTCATTGCACTCTTCTCAGGACTTGTGATTCTGTTCTATTTCTACCCCATCAAGTGCGAGTGGTGCGAGTTCCTCACTTGTATACCATTCACAGACAAATTCTGCGAGAAATACGACCTGGATGCACAGCTCCACTGAAAGGCAAAGACTGGCTTCTCGAGCAGGCACTGGAGATGGACTGTCTTTGCGTTTGCTGTGCCAGTTCCATGTGGACAAAGCCTCTAATCCAATGACACTTCTAACCCTGCCCATGGTTAATTTAAACTGTCTCCTTAGCACTTGGCAGGCATGTTTTGCCTTATCTCAGAAGACTCTGAAAACAGAACGTTTGTGCCTTGTTCAATTGTATTGAACCTTTTCTGCTGCCATTATTTTTATTACACTAGTTTCAATACTACATTTTTAACCAGAGTTGTTTACTACTGCTAAGGTGGTGATTAAATGGTAAGGTAGCGTTTTAGCTACTGTTAATTGTTCTGCATAGTCTGTGGCTACGTTTGTTACTTTATCTCACCTATGCTGTGTCCTGTACCAGTAGAACCGATCCTTTTCTAGCACCCAAAACAGTCAGGTGCAGATTTGCAGCTGGAAATAAGGGCCTTAAAAGCCTCAGAAAACTAGAAAGTCTCTTTATTCACTGAAACTGCATTCCACATACAGCTCAGAGGCAGACACTTCAACTGCCAAAACCACGTGAGAACATCCATTCAACTGGTGTTTTTTCTCTTTGAAATTTTACAACCTTTTCCTCCAGGAAAGTGCTGAATCCAGAGTTTGGTCTTCGTAGGGCTGGCTACTCTGCGCTCTCTGTTAAAGAAAGAAAGTAGTTGGCAGTGACAATAGTTACTGCATGCTGGGCCCTCTTATCACCACACTACAGCACCCATACAGCCCAGGGGGATCAGCCACTGCCATAGGTGACTGCTGGTCATAGGCACGGCGGGGCAGATGGCTTCTGTCATGGCACACTTTTTTTACAGTGGATGTTGCAAATGTGGCAGCATTGAAAGAAGAAAAACAAGTTACTGTGGTCACAAAGCAACAGTTTCTAACCCAGCTAGCTGGAGGCACAAAACAGAAAAAACAAGCCTCCGAAAAAGCTGCTCTTACTTGCAAAAAAAACCCAAAACCAAAACTGCTCTTGCTTTTCAGACACTGTGACTGTGTTTGGTTTTAGATGTGGAGGGGCAGCAGGGATAGTAAGTTCAAAATTAAGCTTGAGAGTCTTGGCCACATCTTGTGTGTACAACTTCCTAAAAATAGCAGTATAATACCAGAATTATGTCTGCCTGGGTTACGAACAGGTAAGTGCGCATGCTACTCCTGCTTCCTGTGCTGGAAGTGTTCTTAAATGCATCAGTTGCACAGAAGTACCGTGACCAAAAGTCATCTAGGGGTGTGTCCTGCCTTCTGAGAACAATGAATCTGTTGAACTCGAGTTTCTATAAACCAGAAAACGGCAGAACTGGGACACAGAAATTATGGGATATGTAAGCTGAGATCTCTTTCCCCAACTCTTTATAGCTTGCAGTAATTGAGAAAGACAGCTCAAAATACACCTACTGTGGAAAAGCAAAGAAGGTGCTGTGTTTGCTTGTTGCACGTGCTTATGCACAGCTGTAGGACATGGCTGTAGCTGCAGGTGCTGTGGACGGTACAGAAGGGTTAGAGCAGGGGGGGAGAGCAGTCACTTGGGTACGAGAGTCTGAGGCACACAGAGGGACCCAAATGACCTGGGTGATGGCAACCACCTGTACCACAGAGCCCTCTCTCCTCCTAGGGATTAGTTAGCACCCAGCCACATTCCTGCCAGTGATTTCCAGACATTCAAGAAGCCTAAAAGAAAGCAAGGTCCGAGAAGCAACTGTGACAGCAAAGGAACACTGCATCTAATGAATTTCGAGACATTGTGGGAGCAGATTCAGAGATTAAACATAAAGTAGGGCTGGAGAAACACCGTTGCCAGCACTAAGCAGCTGCTGCTGCTGCTCCTGATGTAGGTTAACTGAAGTAGCTGAACTATCATTCCCAGCCCTGAGAGAAGCACAAACAACCCAACCAGGCTATGGAACCACACCACAGCCAGGGCACCAGGCTAACTCAGAGACAGGCATTCAGAAACAGAGAGCCTGAACACTAAGGCCTGGGGAAGAGGAAGATGAAGAATTGGTAGCTCTTAATGGATACTCAGGACTTACCTGACACGTTACTTTCGAAGTTTCTTTATGAAGCTGACCTCATCCCGGTTTCTGATGCCATACCTGAACAGAGAATTAGGCTGTTATATGCCAGTTTCCCAGGAACCACAGCCTTTGGAATCCTATAGCTGCCTCTTTCCCAGGGGAGATGGACTCCTACAATCATGTGCTGTGTTCTAGTGCAGGACACATTCAAATTCCCACTTGTGTGTGTAGAACATGCTGCCAGCACTGCAGGATCTGATCATCTGCCTTTTTAAACTTAAATGCAACATCTGTCACCCTTGGCTCAGTCTTTTGAGGACAGCTTTGATTTGGCTGTCTTGCTTAATTTTTAATGCTTTAGACAGGGTTTTCTTGCTGGTCGGCCAGTGGGCTGGCATACCCATCACTGCTGCATGCAACAGCTAGAGTGCTCAGAGCACCTCCTGCCTCCTTACCCCGAGAATGGGCATGGAAACATGGGAGTCATTTGTCAGTGTTGTTACTAGATTGTTTCTGATGAGTGGCCGAGCAGGTCCAGAGCCCAACATGTTTATCCTTAGTTTGCTCTTTGCTTGCCTTCTTCCATCCTCCTTCCTACCCTTCTATCTCAGCAGCTCTGCCAAGCCCTCTGCAAGGGTGGCTGAGCAATGGAACAGGTCATCCAGAGAGGCTGTGCAGCCTACGTTCCTACAGATACTCAAAACCCAACTGGACGCAGCCCTGAGCAACCAGCTCTAGCTGACCCTGCTTGTGTGGAGGGTTGGACTAGATGACTTCCAGAGGTCCCTTCCACTCTGGTCCACGCCATCACATAACGTGTCCTGACCCCATCTGAATAGCACCCAGTGCTCTCAGCTTCCCTGGAGATGAACTAATGGGCTTCACGTGCCTCACGCCATCCCTGGCCACCTCCTCTGCGTTGTACCCTCCGACACTCATGCTTTTTCTCACTAACCATGTCTCTGCAGGACATCTCAGGTACAAGCTTAGCAAGCATAACCTACTCTGCAAGAGTGTGGCACGGACGGCCAAAGGCCCCACGTCCGCATGCCTGGTGTGGTCTGAATTGGATGAACACGCTCAGCACAGGGCAGTGGTGGCTGAGGAACAGCCCGAGGTTCTCCTGTCCTGCAGTGCGGACGGGCAGGGGGTGCAGGGTGTCCCACCTCTGTGTGCAGCGCTGGTCCCGTTCCCAGCGCAGGGCCTGTCCGCCAGGGTACCAAGTCCCGAGCCGGCCCGCTCCATGCAGATGCTCTGCGGCCTCCGGCGCGGCCTCCCCAGCCCCCCGAAACTCCATTACTCACTCTCTCAGCTTCTTTCTGTCATCTGCCAGCTTCTCTCCGGCGTAGGTTAAGTGGTACGTCCTCCATATGTACTTCCTAGGGGAGAAACCCGGGGGGGAGCGGCGGGAGGCGCTGGCCGCGGCAGG